TATCAATCCAAGAGAGTTTGTCAAATATCCATTTTTCGCCCAATATGTACGTCATGCCATCACACTAAGCAAAATCAGATATCAAGATGGACCGAAACCCCAAATCAAGTAGGGTCAAAACCCAATAGTCAAGAGAATCAAGAACCATATTAAAAATAGTTTCCTAGTTCGTACTTAACACGGACAAGTTCCCTAATATAAGACGAACTACAAATCCAAAGTCAAGATGGCAAAAGATCCTAATCAAGAGGCTTGCCAAGATGAGTGACAAAGTCACTAGCATAAGAAGGACAAAGTCCCAACAAGAATGCAAAATGATCAAGCAAATCCGTACGAGTGGGCAATTTAGCGAATATCTTACAATACTTAATATAACATGAATACAACGATATAAATTGAAGACAAAAAAAATAAAATATCAGGATATTTTAAAATATTTCAGCAAGTAAAGAGAGTACAAGGTTTATATACAAACATTGATATTTTACCACAAAATAGTTCAACCACAACTTGAGGACGTTCAAATCGTCTATGCCATAGACAAACCAAATTCGTCCACTTCCTCAAACACTTCCCCTTAGCTTTTACAAGGATATATATATCTTAAATATATAATAAAATATCTATATAAGTTCAGTGATTTAACATGTCAAACTAAACATGATATTGGTGAAAATTACCTAAAATGTTTGAAACAGAAATTCTGGACAGTATCATTGTCTCGTGTTGTGACTCAGATTTGAAGATGAAAAAGGACAAACTGGACTATGTGGTCTTCTTTACAGTTGTAGATATGTGTCTTAGAGTTTCAGAACATCTTGAATCACCCCCATATCAATTTTGTACAAAAGGTTATGCTAAACTTACTAACAGTAGTACAGGGAGGGTTTGTAAAACAGAAAATCTGGGCAGCACCTGTCCTGTACTTCATCACCTATTTTCGGGTAAATAAAAGATAAATCAGATTTTGGTTCCTATCATAAGAGTTATAGATCTATAAAATAGCTTTCCAAAAAGTCTTAAATCACTTGAAACAGAGCTCTATACAAAAGATATGAAGAAAACACTAATAGCTGTCTAGTGTAAAAACGGGTTTAGTAACTTACCACAAAAGAGAGGAGCAACTTGAGCTTCACCAAGAACGAATTTTGCTGGTTGGTTTAGTGGAAATTTATGGTGGTTTTCATGAAGTTTTCAGGTGATAAGAAGGAGAGAGGATAGGGGTTTTCTTTTTCTTGAAAGAATGAAAATAGGGAGTTTATGGAAGACTAAGTCAATCAAAGTTATCTTTAAGAATTTTGGATAAATATGAAATAAAAATGGCTGCCCAACTACTAAATATCCTTAGATAAATACAAAAGGGTGGCAGCCCAAAAACTTAATTATATAACATATTTAATAACAATTCATCAAAATAATATTAAGTGTTACACATAGCAATACCATGGAACTTTTTTGTCAATATTAACACAACCTAAAGTAAGAAATTTTCATATATTGTCAATTTCATATTTAGGAAGTGCGAAGTAAAATATCTCCTCATTATAAAGATGCACAATCGAGAATGCAAATATTAGTAAAACTCTGGGGTGTTACAAGTACTAAAGGAGTTAAACAGGAAGTATTTCAGGGATATAATAACAGAAGCTGCAAAGGATAAGGATGAGTTAATAAAGGCTCAACTAGTATTGCAAAGTGATCTAATGGATCAGGTACTACAAAAGCACGAAAAGGCTAAATTTCAAAAGTTTAAGATATTCTCATATTTGTGAGAAGTTTTTCTTCAACAAAGAAGTAAAGCAACATGGATACAATTGGGGGATGACAATACAAGATACTTCTATGCTGTTATTAAGCATGGAAAGCTTCAACAAGCAATATCAAAAATGAAGGTATAGTGTAGATAGTTCATGAGGCCATAACTAGTATCTTTGTGACTTTCTACAAAGAGCTACTGGGGAGGAAAGAAATGTACAAAATTAAAGCTTTCAATAGTTTCCTAAAGAATGGGCATACCCGTATAATGGCTCAACAACTTGAACTAGTAAGGGACTACATAGGGAAAGATGTAAAAAAGGCCATGTTTAGCATTGATGTACACACGAGTCCAGGTCCAGATGGTTATAGGAGTAATTTTTCAGAAAAGCTTGTGGGGGAGGAGGTGACCAATGTTGTACTGCAATTTATCAGAAATGGAAAGCTGCCGAGGAAGATAAACTCCACTCTTATTGCTTTGATTCCTAAAGTACCAGCACATCAGTTTGCATGTCAGTTCAGGCTAATTTCTTGCTGCAATGTATTATATAAATATATCTCAAAGGTATTGTGTATTAGGCTGAAGGAAGCATTTAAACATTTGATCACAGACACACAGACTGTTTTTGTGGAGAGAAGATCACTGATACATCATAATTTACTGAGACACTATAATAGGAAGACATCACTTAGGTGCCTCATGAAGATTGACTTGAAGAAGGCATATAATATGGTTAGTTTGAACTTCATAAAGGAAGCATTAATTGGTTATGGTTTCCCAAACTCATTTGTTGCTCTGATTATGACTTGTATTACTTCTACTAAATTCTCAGTAAATATGAATGGGGAGAACTATGGATACTTTGATGGGAGGAGAGATCTTAGATAAGGGGATCCAATTTCACCATTATTATTTATTTTGGTGATAAAGTATTTATCCAGAACCTTGAAGATAATGGAAAAATTACCAGATTTTAAGTTTTGTCCTATGTGCATAGAGGCTGAAGCTTACTCACTTGATCTTTGGAGATGATCTCATGATCTTCTGTAAAGGTGACATGTAGTCAATACAGAGAGTTATGGAAGTGTTAGATCATTTTAGCAGAGTCATAAGATTGGTGGCAAATACTAAAATCAAGCATTTTTTTTGCAGGGATCACAAGAGAAGAACAGGAAGAGATAATTGCAATGGCAGAATTTATCCAGGGTACTTTGCCTATGAGGTACCTTGGCCTAACCTATCATCCAAAAAAATGGATCAAGATGAAATGCAACCAATTACTATACAAGATAACAGACAAGATTACCAAGGCATACTCATAAGAACTATCCTATGCAGGAAGATTGCAGACTGTTAATGTTGTACTCCATCTGTTTTTATACTCCCCCAGAGTATTCTTAAGGAGGTGGACAAGAGGTGTAGGGATTACTTATAGGGCACTTCTGAAGAATATAGGAAAGTCCCATTGGTTGCATGAGAGAAAGTGTGCAAGCCTAAAAAATATGGTGGTCTGAATATAAATGGTTGTAGGAGCTGGAATATAGCTTTAGTTGGGAAGTTATTATGGCAATTAAATAAGAAAAAAGATTTCTTATAGGTGAGATGGGTGCATGGAGTATATATAAAGCAAGATGGAAATATATTGGATCATAATCCTCGAATTAACAACAGTTGGTACCGTAGGAAATTGAATGCCCTTAAGAGTGGAATGGTTGCACCATACCAATAGATATCAACTTACAACTAATGGGGAGTACTCACTGACTAAGAACTACAATGCTATGCTAACAGGTCTAGAAAGATTAAAGGAGGCTGACTTAATGTGGACCAAAGCAATGCAACCTAAGCACATGCTCATTGTTTGGTTAGCCAACCAAAACAAGCTGCTCACAAAAGAGAGGCTCCAAAGGCTCCAGATTCCAGTGGCAGATAACATATATTGTCTGTGTGATGAACGAAAGGCAGAAAATTTACACTACCTATTTGCAGAGTGTGCATGGATAATTGAAGTTAGGCAAGGTCTCAGTAATTGGTCTAAGTTATATATAGCTAACAAGGGGGTCACACAACAATTGTAACGGATGAAGAATAGGAGATGGAAGCAGATGAAGAGAGAAGTGGTGGCAGCCATATGGGGAGCAATGATATACCACACATGACAAGCAAGAAATTGGAGGATTTTTAGAGGCACTAATGTGAATACATATTTTGCAATTGCACAGATACAAAAAGAAGTCAAAATTAGACTAGAGAGTATACAAACATCAAAGAAAGTAAAAAAGTGTCGAAGTCTGTTCCATAAGTTATACAATAAGTTAGGTATTGTTTCTGTTTGTTACTTTTTCTATTAGTTTGATTAAAATAGGAGGATGTACTAGGGCAACGTGAAGAGTTAGTTTACTGTTTTCTTGTTGGTCGATTGGAGGCCCTGGATGTAACACCTCGAGATGGAAGTTGCAAATATAGGCGCTCATGAGCAGAGGCGGATGTGGTGTACTACCTACGAGTTCAACTGAACTCATAACTTTCGACGCGGAGTAAAAATTTATATGTAAAAATTTATTAAAATTACAAAAATAGTAGATATGAACTCATAACTTTCGACGCGGAGTAAAAATTTATATGTAAAAATTTATTAAAATTACAAAAATAGTAGATATGAACTCATAACTTTCGACGCGGAGTAAAAATTTATATGTAAAAATTTATTAAAATTACAAAAATAGTAGATATGAACTCATAACTTTAAAAATATAATGGGTTCAATATTAAAAATCTTAAAATTGAACCCATAAGATTTAAATCCTGGATCCGCCTTTGCTCATGAGTTGTACAAAAGTTGGTTGTTAATGGTAATATTTTATATTTATTAGTATAAAAAAAATTAAACTTCTCGTTTTATTTTTAATGATAAACTTTCAGTCTCACAAATAATAAATTTAAAACTTTTATTGCTCTACATATATGACTGGCATATTTATACCACAAGTGTCAAAATTATTGATTATTTTCTTAAAAGTCTAGTGGAATATCAAACTATGCCTTATAAATTGAAACGGTGGGAGTAACAAATTATAGTAATTAACGAATTAATTTGAGAAGTTTGAAATTGATAGTCCAACATATCTACATAAAGATATACGTAAAAAGTTTTTATAGAATATTCATTACTGTTAAATATTTTCTCTTGTATTTAACGTCTAAAAATGGAAATATTTGTACTTATATAAATTGGAAGGATGAAATAAAATAGCATTGGACACTCACATTCTTCAATGGAGAATCTGGCTGGTCCAGCCGCGACCCCAACCTCCACCGCCACCAAGCCTCAGACGGCTGACACCACCACCCCATCACCGGCGTCACCACCGGCAGCCCCCGAAGAAAAAGACTCAAAAATACCACCTCCAAATCCACAGCTCGAAAACCTCTGCAAGACGATGTGCGGCAAGGGACTTCGAACTTACATAACATCGCAACTCCCACTTCCAGAGCAAGAAAACACACTGCGCGAACAACTCCCAGAGGCATTAAAGCTTGCGCCCAACGCAGCAAAGCTTGTACTCAGCTGTATGGGAGACTTTTATGCCAAAAGGGGCAAAGATCTTAATAAGGATACGCAGATGATTTCCTATAGGGAAGCATCCGCATTGGTTTTGGAGTGCTTTTTATTAATGGGTTTGGACGAAATTGATGAAGCAGTCTCAAAAGAAGCTGAACAAGCAGCGGTTATATGGAGAAGAAGGTTGGTTGATGAACGAGGTATAAAAAAGGCGAGTGAAATGGACGCGCGGGGGCTGTTATTGCTTATTGGGTGTTTTGGGATTCCACAAGTTTTTAGGAATGAGGATGTTAGGGACTTGATTCGGAAGAGTAACATCAGGGGGATTAAAAGTGCACTTAGGAGATCAAATGTGCTCATCGAAAAGATTCCAGGTCGGTCCTCCTCCACTCTATCTATTTATCTGCAAGCTACATTTGCATTTCATCATTTTGCAGTACATTTTTTAAAAGGATTTAAGTTTTATACCGGATTACACTGGGTTTGTTGTTGTTGTTGTATTTAAGTTTTATACACCGACAATGTAAAGATTTTTTTTTTCTATTATCAGTGAATTTTAATCTGTGATAGCTGGTTTGCTACCATTGTTACAAGATTACCAATTAATGCTTATCAAAAAGTTTACCTGTAATTACCTAATAAGTGACACTATCAGTGCGTATAACTTAAACTCTTCTCTAAATAATAGATGTGCTAGCTGAATTGGTCGTGTATGTGACAATTTGATGATTGGAGATAGTAAAAAGAGGCGAGGTCGACCTAAGACCACATGGAGGGAAGGTGTCTTAGAATATCTAAGATCTCTTGGACCCAATGCACAGTTAGCTAAACATGTAACACGATGGAGCTTAAACATAACACAATGGGAACAACTAGTTGGGATTAAGCTAGTTGAATGTGTTGAGATAAGCGTGTGATTAGTGGATTCTTGAGTTTGCTTACGAAGATATTATTTAGTATTGGAATGAAATAAACCTGTATAGAACAAAATGGACATACAAGATTCATCTAGCTGACTGGAACTGATTGAATGAATATGAAGTGCATTTGAACTAATCGTACTTTCAATTAGTGAGGTGGGGTTGCATACATCAGTTTGCTCTAAACAGCAAAACTAGAACTGGGTCTCCTAGATGCAAGTGTAGAAAGGCCTGAAGTAAGAAATTTGTTGTGGGAAAATAAGAAATTTTGATGGACCTCTTGGTGGAAAGTTACTTATTCTGCTTCGAGATAATTGAGGATTTGTAGGAAAATTAACTGGTTTGTTCTTAGGAGTACTGAGTTTAATTAGACCAAAATACAACACATGTAATAAAATTTGTGATGGTAAATTTTTGTCTTGGACTTTATAGTTGTACCTTGTGACTATGCTGTTGCTGAAGTTCCAGTCTGGGGTTTACAGAAAGCTCCTAAAATTCCATAGTCTTCAAAGCAGTCTGACTATGGCAATTTCTTATGGAACTTTTTACTGCAAAGGAATTGGTAAGATTGCAGCACATGGTGGGTGAGTAGTGAGAGAGTCGACCCTTAACTTCTGGCGGTTCCTACTTCCTAGTGACAAGTTTATAAGGTACCGGAGCAGTGACAAGTTTATAAGGTACCGGAGCATAGCTGTTCACTTTGTCCTCTGCCCCCTTTCTCTTTCTTTCTTTTGCCTTGACCTGTAGGGAAATTTTATTCCTCTTTTCTAGTGGTAATGGATGTCATTATGTCATAGTTGTTTATATGTCACTCTATTTTTGCTTTTTATGTATCAATAAATGCAATGTCGCCTATTGAAGTTACATGTATTGCCATTATTTAATATCTACCTTCTGTTAGGCCCTAAAGATTTTTATATTGAGTTTAGTAAAATATTTTGTTCATCACCACAAAATGGGTGATATATCTATGTATTGGAATTTGTAAGGAACTTAAGAAGCAGACTGAGCTGAAATTATTGGTGGCTAATTTGAGGTCAATTAATGATAACTCCATAAAGGAGGGGACGGTTGCGGAGCCAGGCGCAGCAGCAGCAGCGACGGCAGGTGGACGATTGAAGGGCTCGTTATGGATAGCCCTGTGATTTTGAGGCATTTTCTATGTGCGTTTCAGTAGTGTAGAACTTGGATTTAAAACAGGCCATGAGTCTACCGTTCGCCCATTCTCCCGCTTATGCTCAGATAAACATGTCGGATAAAGGAAACATGGGACTTTTCCGGATCTCTATCTCTCTTCCATTTTCTCTATGTTGAGATATCATCTGGTTATCACATTCTGATGGTCTTTGAGAGGATGTGTGATCATTGGTGAGGCCAATTACATGCAGCCTTCATGACGAAGAAAAAAATATGGGATGAATATTAAAAGCATATCCTCATTAAGTTGGAGAGAGAACCATTCAAGGAAGAAACGTGGGATTTTTTTGCCGAGGTCTGGCGAGAATCACGTGAGAGCACCGTTACTCTTTTGCTTTCTGTTTGTCTCTTCCATTAGTGAAACTATATCTACTCAGTTTTTGCAAAGTTAAAGGACAATAAATGTTCTAGGTTATATTTTAAGGACAACGTTAGACCTATACCCAAAGATAAGGGACAATTTTGATTTAAACCATATCATATATCTCTTCTGGTACCTTTGCACTTCCCTTTTCATTTTCTTCCCTTGCTATGGTGCTACATCCCTTTTATTTTCTCTCCTTGCTGTGGCACTACAGTTTTTCTATAACTTGATATTCCATGCAAGATCTCATTAGAGGTCGCGGTGTGACCTTTCATTACTTGTTACTCTACCTGAATTTGGTTCTCTAGTTTGCACTTTCATTCCACACCTCTTATTCCCTTCGCTGTTCAATTTCATTCGCTGCAACTTCTACGGTTTCTTGTTCCCTTCTTTCTTTGTTTTAAAGATATATTATTTTTAAAGCTATTTTACTTTTGTTCCTTTTCTGTTTTTATCTTTCAATTCTGTTAAAGTTTTGTTTTATTATAAAAAATCAGCTTAATAACTTTAAAGATTTGCTTATATATACATAGATTTTTGAGACTCTACTTTTTAGTCTTTAAATTTTAAAAAATAATATTATATATATATATATATATAAAAAATATTTTTGTTGAGTTCTTTTTTCTTTAGTTATTTTACTTATCTGTGCAAGGTTTATTTTGGCACTTCTATATAGATGTCACTTCACTTCAATGAAGCGAGCGCTTCACTTCTCGCTTTAAGCGAAATGAGCCCTTGTCGCTTTTTTGCGCTTCTCGCTCTCAAAAACACTGGTGGCATTCGAGCCAGCTTGTGCGAGACTTGACTATTCCACCGAGTAGTTACTACTCCCCACCAGCACAAATATCAGATATACTCTGCCTACCAAGGCTTAGGTAGATGTGAAAAAAATCACCTATTCACCTAGCGTTTTTACTGGCTCTATTGGGATTTGAACCGTGGTCTCCCGTGATTTTCATCCACTTCATTGACCACTATGTCACGCCCTTCTGTGCCCTTTTCTTTCATTTCTAGTTGGAGGAAATTTTTTGATTGGAAAAAACCTGGAGGTCAAGTCCAGGAACGCATAATCCACCTCATATTTTACAAATAAGTGACTATGACTTATTTAATATGCTACCTTGGATACATGTTTTATTCTCCCCACTTGATACTTGGGCCCTTGGCTCGCATGAGTGGAAGACCTACTAATTTATCTGACTGCCTAACTTTGATTTATGTATATTTGCAACAGAAATAATAGAGGGCATGGTGAAGCATAAGATGGAAGTTGAGGCTGTTGATGTTGCTTATACTTTTGGCGTTGAGGAAAAGATTAGCCCTTACACAATTTTGTCATCGTTTTTACATGAATTTAAAGAATCGCTGAAGAAAAGGAAATGGAAATCGCATGGTTCACATGATGTTGTGGTAATTCTTGAATTTCATCTCGAGCACTAATACCCCCCCTCTTTCTTCCTTCTCCTATATCCTAAACATAACTGCTCTTTGTTACGTCATACAGAATGAAGCAAACAAGAGGGAATTGTCTACTATGAAATCTGTCATCGAATGTTTGGAAGCCCATAACATTGATCCCTCAAAGCTTATTCCACGGTTTCGTATCAGTGACAGAATTGAGAGCTTGGAGAAAAAAATAGCTAGGAATGATCAAAGAAGGGAGAAGATGGTGCAGAATTGGAAATGTGATGAAACGGGGTTTTCTAGAAGGTTCGATGACAGACAAGCAAAGCGCAGACGTATTGCAGGTTCGGAACAGCAAAGAGCTGTTAATCACGTCTATAGCCAGAGACCCTTGTTAGAAGGTGGAACTGCCGGCCGCTTTTATGGTTATTCTTTGTCACCACCAGCATTGCCTGGACCTATTGCTGGCTCGATAGCTGATACTGTTCCTGGCTCACTAGCTGCAAGTGGGGGAGGTGTGGTTATGGGTAGATTTGGTTCAGGTATAACAAGAAGCACGGATAATGTTCTACAAGCTGGCTCATATGCTGGATTTCATGGAGGGATGCCGATTGATGGTAGAGCCGGGCAAGCAAGAAGTTATAACAATAAATTATATGGATGGCAAGGGGATGCATCCATGCACGAGAGGTCGGTCTCTTACAACTATGAATATGGGTCACCACCACCGTGGCAAGGCTCTATAGGGTTGCCAAACACTGTTCCTGTTGGTGTCGGTCGCCAGAGCTCTGCTTCTGATCCTTATCAGTTGCCCAATACTGTTCCAGGAAGTGCACCGTATCGGAACAGCGGTTCATATGCAGTAGGTGCTGTTCCCTCTGTTAACCATCGTTCTTCCTACTTGTACCCAAGGACATATTATCCCTAAGGCATGCAGTAACTTGTAGTACTTTTTAGTTTCTCTTGTAGTATGCAATCTTTGTAATGTGATATGCCAATTGCACCAAAGATGCACAAGTGTGGGGAATGTTAAGTAAATGATCCTGCTCAATTTTCAAGGCCTGGTATAGCAATGTCACCGTTTTACCCCTTAGCAAAATTCCATTTCCACGAAAAAGTTAAATATTATGTTGACAAGCGCTTGAATTTTCCTGGCAAGAATTCAATAAGTAAATTGACATGTGCAAAGCAATGGCTGCTGTAGGTAAATGCAGAAACGTGCTTTGAAAACCTTCGTGGGTGTAAAACTGTAAATTATATCTTTTTTTCTAAGATATAACTCATGTTTAAAGAATATTTATATTGCCAGCGTACAAAAATTAAACTCAATCTTAATAGAAAACAATATTACAATAAAAAGAATTTTAACTTCTCTACAATAGTGATAAATATATTTACACAAATCATGTCATTTGAAATTTAATTACATATATTATAGACTACACTAAACAAGGACAGGTAATCTATAAAAACGGCTAAGCAATAAAATTGTACAAATTTAAATTTAGGTGTTGAATCAAAAGAAGGAATGAAAACAGAAACTGGACCAGAAGCATAAATGAAGAATTTCAACACTACTCTGTTTTCTTGTTTCGCATGGCCTAGGCCTAGAGGGCAGATCCTTTCAAAAGGCTATAGAGATGTGCATGAAAAACAATAGAATAACCCAAATAGCTGCATGTATATATCAATGTATGATCTATATAAACCAGCTAAAAAAAGTAAACATTGAATCTGATCGGCTATTTGTATAACAATCCCAAACCATCTTTCATGTAACATCCTTATGATCTTCCCCATGATTAAATAACTTAATCATTTTGGGCACTTGAAAATTTCAAATATGCAAAAAGTATCACTCAAAGAATGATTATAGAATTATGCTTGCAACATCAAATCAATCAAATAAAAAATGTTGCTGCTTTTCTTTACACTTCAAATAAATCTTAAAAAACGTGTGTAAGTGGAAAATTATTGTGTGATTGGAATCCATGCTGCTAAATGGTTCCAAAGTGTGTAAGTGGTTCAGCTAACACCATTATCAGTGCTAGTAAGGTTCTTCTGATCCGCGACAACACCATTACCAGAGTTAATAAGGTTCTCCTGATCAGCGACAACGCCATTACCAGAGTTAACAAAGTTCTCCTGATCAGCGACAACGCCATTATCAGTGTTAATAAGATTCTTCTGACCATCTTTTGCAGAGACTTCTGTTTTGCACTCATTAGGAGCAGTAAGAATTTCAGAAATGAACTTTATCAATGAGCAGAGACCCCCCAAGAAGTTATGATCAATGACACCACGTCCTTCGTAAACATGAGCAAAGTCAATCAGCTTGATTTGAGCACCTGGATTGCTTCCTTCCAATGCCAGCTCTTTTTCAAAGACCACCAGAATTGAGCAAGAATAGAAGTGGTATGTAGTTTGATCCTCAAACCATGCTTTCAGCTCTAATAACTGAGATAAAATGCCAGTGGAGCCGCCGTACACAGTTGACGCGAGAGCGCAGTCTGGTTCCAGATCCAAGTCATTTAATGTGTTTGAGGAAACAAACCTTCTTAAGACTAACTTGACTTCCTCTGTAGAGAGTTTCTGAGCAGCTTTCTTTCCCGGCTTCCAGAACCCTAATCCTTTGCTTCTAAAGATTTGCAACCCCGATATCCTGAATCCTAATGGAAGGCTTGATGATTCTCGATCCTTTTTTAAGCACTTCTCGATGTATTTCTGGGATGCTTCAGGTGCCCAGGTTCTTGAACCAATCTTAACGTCCATAATTGACGGGTTGACTTGACCTCGAGCAAGATCTTCCAAGACCAAGTGAGGCTTCAAGCCAGATCCATCAGATGCCTCTATGAGTTGAGTGCCATAAAAGGTGGGGAAAAATCTTTGGATGTGTTCCGGGATCCCACTATTAGTAGACAATGAAATATAGAATGCAACCTCATTGGACCCTCGTTCATCGCCTTGCAAAGGCTTGTAGAAGCGCCCCGATTCATCCACGAGGGGCCCCAGCTTTCCATTGACCGCTTCGTGTCCTGCAACTTGATGTGGAGGGACCTTAAGCATCTTCACAGAAAGTGAAGTACTTCAGAATAAAAAGAAGGGTAATATCTAGCAATCAAAAGTCTCTGACACACAAAGTTGTTCCTGTGAAATTGAGACAGAATTACAGCTTATATCAGCCTCAAGGAAAAGCAAAAAGTGCAACAGAGTAAAAGGAATAGGAAAATCTCTGAATTCTTGGTACTTGCAAAACCAATAAATTGAATCCGACTCCAGTTTTGTTATTGGGATTGGAACAGCACATGATATACCTTGAATTAACTTTCACCATGATCGTCACTACAGATCCAAGAACCAAAAGAGCCCAAAGATAAAAGAAAAAGTAATAATCAAAAAATAGGAAAAGAAAACATATCAGTTGTCTCATACACGCAGACTTAGTTATGCTTTTATCTCTAGGATATCACTGGTGAGAAATTACATTTTTTCCCATATAGTACGAGTGGTCAAATATTTCATGGTCTCCTGGAAACACCTTTTATGACATCAATCAAATTTAAGTCACTTCATTACTATTATTTTCCCCAATCTTATGCTCAAACTAGCTAAAGAAACTACCTGAGGAAACCAACGAATTTAAGGATATACACAAAGCCAATCAAGGTTGATCATCTAAGATATGATTAGTTTTCTTCTTTAGCTGTTCCTATCTATCAGTACTCGAACTCTATAAACAAGACGAGAAATATAAGACTATAACCCAAACTTCTCGTTTAAACTCATTTTATTCCTGAGATGTACTCTTTCTTGACTCGCATGCCGAAGCTTATACAGATACTTCTCTTCAGACTTTCTTTCACCTGGTCCATCACCAACAATGATTCCATTATCGGTTCAACCACTGATGGACGGATTTAAAAGCTACTATCCACCAGGATAACCACACAGTGTCATTTCCATTTTGGATTTTGGATAATAAATTTCCAGGACAAACAACACAAATTTGACCTCTGATAAATTTGCACACATAAGTCACAAGACCAAAAAGTAATAACACCTAAAATAGAATCACTAAATTATGCAGAGAATGGTTAAGGGGAAAAAAAGGAAAAAAGTTAGACATACGAGATGCCCAGTAAGCTTGCAGCCACATTCTTATGAATTACATGAGTTATTGCAAAAACAAATTGTCTAGTACATTGTAATGAATAAGTTGGACAAACATCAATCAAGTAACCTGAATCCTAAATTAGTTTTATTCTACTATATGAATCATTTATATCCATTCTACTCCAATTAATAAGTCAACATATATCAATCAAGTAAGCATCAACCTAAAAAAAGTTAAAGTTAGCGATAAGAAACCTCCGTGTCCAATTTGATCTATGTACATGTGGATTAAGAGAGAAAAACGTGAAAGATAGTCAGGTAATTTTCTGGGCCAGAAAAAACTTAAACCTCTTCTAATCTAATAAATGTTGCACTAAGTTCTCGTTCCCAATAGTTGCAGAGGTGCATAGAGATAACTTAAAGAAAAATTTCAAAAATATGTATCTATATTTAATGGTACATCCCCTGCCTTTAGATATTGGATTGATCTCTAAAGAGTTGCATAGGTAGATCACAGGTAAAAGATTTACAGATTTGCAGCATAGCACAGACATGAATCACTGGGTTTTAAACAGATAAAAGAACAAAATATCGCTTTAAGATTAAGCAGATGCAAGAAACCTGGGAAAAAATCCCAAACTTTGGCAGTATACTTAGAAATAAAAATCAAATCAAATCTACAAACAGTGATAGAAAAAGTGGTGTCAGAATAAGTTCTTTCGCAATACAAAACATACAACTGAACTAGAAAATTAGACCAGCTTGGCCCATGTGATAGCAACAATAAGAAAAATACAAAAGCATATGAATATTAAACCATAGAAATCAGACAAAGTTTGCTACTTAATGTAAGTATTTATTTCTCTTTATATGTTAAAATAGAAGCAAAGCTGAACTTTTCTTCCGCCAAAAAATCTGAATCACTGCCAAAGGATTAAACATTGTTGGAAAAAAAAAAAGAAGACGTTTTATAGGTATTAACAATCTTTACACATAAAACAACATCAAAATTCGAGAAAATATAAAAACTGCAGAATAAAGCAAGTTTTGAGTTAGAAAAATTCAAATAATTACCTCTCTTTCGACTCCTTCGAAGAAGCAGTCAATGTTTTTGAAAAGTGAGATTTTAACTGTGAGAATTTCGGAAAGAACAAGGTTTAAATAGAAGAAGGTGAATTAATTGACTACTGCGGGTTCATTGGTCGGTGTAGTAAGGCGGTGATGTGGAAGATTTATAATCTGACACGTGTTATTTCTGTGACTCGCTTCCACCAATTGTAGTGATACTTGTTGTTGGAAGCTTGTAGAGAATAAAAACCGATTAAAAGTAGTACTCCTATCAGATCCGAACTTCAAAAAGGTTATTCGCTTTTCCGCATGGCACATATTTTTAATTTACTAAATTAAGATGTTCCTATAAATGTATTCTTCTTTTCCTTTTTTATGTTCTTCCTGTTTTTAGACATTGTCAACGAAAGATCCCTCTCATGAAAATATTCTTTCTTTTTGGCTACTTTTGACTTAGTCAAAAATTTGACTTTTTAAAGTCTTTAATTATGTAAAATTATTTCTTATCTAATATTTCTGTTTGGTGATGTGTATTTAAAATGCTTTGCATAATTTTTAAAAAAAATTAGTTGTTTTCAAAAATGCCCTCCATATTCTTTAGCTTTAAGGAACTTTAAGGATAATTTTGTATTTAACCATGTTAATGCATGAATTAATAGCCCTGATATTACTAATATCATGGTTTGACATGTATTAATTAGTTATACATAGACAATATCAAATAAGTTATATAACTAATGCTTGTATTAGTAATACCTAGGGATTAATAATACCAAAAGTTAATACATTTATTATTTTCTCTAATGCATCCTGCCAAATATCATAATGTTAACCTTGGGGCAAGGTGTTTTGGAAATAAACATCATGAATCTCTGCTGACGAATACTAAAAAACTTTCACGAATTTTGACCTTGAGGATGTGAGCTCGAACATATAGATATAATTTAATTTTTTTTTAATAAAAGAAGAATGATATTTGGAGTCACAAAACGCTAATATGGACCATAATGTTGCAGCCAAAACAAAGATTTATTATTTAGTTAGCGGGTTAATTTCACTGATGATCAGTGAACTATCTTTCAATTTCATTAAAATTATTTAACTATTTTTTGTCACTTAAAAGTAACTAAACTTTATCATTGTCACTTAAAAGTCATTTTGCCTAAAACTCCTACCATAAATATGACATGACATTAAATTTATGATAAAAATCCAAAAATAAATGTCACATAAGCTAATATGGGTCATACCCATTTTAGATCCATTTATCCTTTAATGTGATTTGACCCATAATCCAAATGGGTTTCGATAAAATAAAAATATGAAGTTACACATTAGTTTAAAATGATTATCCTATACTACAAAATAAGAAATTTCTAGCATAGATTATTTTAGTATAGGATAATCATTTTAAACTAATGTGGAACTTAATATTTTTTTTTTTATCGAAACTCATTTGGATTATGGGTCAAATCACATTAAAGAATAAATAGATCTAAAATGGGTATGACCCATATTAGCTTATGTGGCATTTATTTTTGGATTTTTATCATAAAATTTAATGTCACGTCATATTTATGGTAGGGGATTGAGGCAAAATGACTTTTAAGTGACAATGATAAAGTTTAGTTACTTTTAAGTGACAAAAAATAGTTAAATGACTTTAGTGAAATTGAAAAATAGTTCAATAAACGAAAATGTCTCTAGTTAGCTAACCAAAGCAGTTTGCTAACTAAGGAGAGGCTTACCAGATTTATTAGAAACTCAATACAGATTCTACTATTGCACATATATAGATGAAATACGGGCAATTATATATAGATGTCAGCATTTATTTTCTGGATCATGTAACTAGATTGTGTTTTTTGGTTCATAACGCCTAGAAGATTACCACACTCTTCCTTTTCCTTCATTAGAGATTAAAATTTAAGTTCCTCTATAATTTTCCTTCTTTAAAATCCAAAAAGAAGGTTAAAAAGCAACACATAAAAAAAAAAAAAAAAAAAAAAAAAAAAAAAAAAAAAAAAAAAAAAAAAAACAATTCTGGGTAGAAGAGGCATCTTTTGTGATATCCTAAGGCTTCATTTGAAAAAAAACGCAAGTTTCTNAAAAAAAAAAAAAAAAAAAAAAAAAAAAAAAAAAAAAAAAAGACGAATGACAGGACTAAAAAAATCCAATCTATCGACCTCAAATCCACATAATCAAAACTTTCTCTTTTCCTTTTTCTTTCTTTCCTTTTCCTTGAGCTGAATTTTCAACCATCCTGTAAACTGACAACTTAAAAAAGAAGGAAAAAAGTTAATGAAAATGATAATTTTGTGTGTTAGATTATCTTATTTTATGTACCTGTACGTTTAAAGTATGATTAGAGAATATAATTTAAGAGAGTTAAGTCATATTTTTTTTTTTGCATTTAATGAAAGTTTAAATCTTAATTATTTAAATTTCAATCATTATATATATATGTATATATATATTAGGTAATCATGTTTGAATCGTATTTATTCAGATGTTAATCATTAAGTAGGTTTGATTTTTTAAAAATAAGAATGAGGTATATAATTGGCTTTTTCGGCCAAATATAGGGGTTACTTATGTTTTCTTCATTGTAAAAATCATTCAATTTCACAATCATATGAAGTGGTTTATTTGATTGTTTATAACGATTACGTCCAGAATTATAAAATCCTTACACTAGCTTGATAGAATTTTTCACTTTTAAATTAGAAAAAAGTAAAAATTTAGTACTTACCGTGCGTCTAGGAGAATTACATGTCATATGTACTACTTATACTTTTGTTTACAGTTAAACATGTCCATCATGGATATTTTTCTAACTTACGAATTTAAATAAAAGAGGTAATCCATTATTGATTGTTTAGCATATGCATGCTCTTTTAACAAAGCCAGAAAAAGAAAGAAGAAAGAGAGTAACAAACTTCAGGAAATAAACTAAATTCAAAATTTTGAAACATTTGGAGCATAAAATAATTGAAGCAACTAGTGAAAGATCCATTGGCTTAAAATAACACTGAAGCAAATACTGAAAAAAAAAAATACATGGTATGAGTTATATCGATCCAATAAATACATATTGTATATTTTTTTAACCATTTTTCACTTAATTATAATTAATACAAATTCTAATCTAAAATCACTTACAATACTAGAAATTCGCTAAAAATCGACCAAAGTTGGTTGGTTATGGCCAATTACCGACTAAAACGCGACCATTAGGGTGTGGACGGTGTTTTGATGGTCATAATGGCTTGCCGACCAAAGTTGGTCGGTAGCTTAAAACGACCATCTGACAAGTTTAAGTGCTTACCAACCAACTTTGGTCGGAAACATATTTTATTAATTTAATTTTACCAACCAAAGTTGGTCGGTTTAACTAAATTATATTTTTTTTATTAATTATTAAAATTTTAAAAAATCGACCAACTTTGGTCAGTAATTGAAAATATATTTTTTTTAAAATAATTAAAATTAAACATTACCGACTAACTATGGTCGGTAACCTCAACAGTGCAGGCAAAATACCGACCAAAGTTGGTCGGTAATGTTGAATTCTGGGAATTCAGTGTTCATTAACCGACCAACTTTGGTCGGTATTTTGGAATAATTTTTTTTAATTATTAAAAATCGACCAACTTTGGTCGGTTTTTCTGGGTTTAATTTTGGCATAAAATGCATGTTTTGGCAGCTACACCACCTGCCAGCATACCAATACACCTAATAATAACAACAACAACAACAACAACAACAACAACAACAACACAACAATAACCAAAACATTCAATAAATACTTTAAAACTAACAAATTAAAGTTCAATTGAACATAAATATCCAAAACCAAGTTAAAACTAATTACAACTAGTTCAAAACTGGTTCTATTTGTCTAGTTCAAAGTATATAAAAGTCAATGGGTATTTTCTACAACATCATCATCACCGTCTGATGAACTTTCATTTACAAGACGGTATAAAGAACGGTCTTGTAGAGGACGGGAAGAACGATCACGGGGAGGACGGGAGGAACGATCACGTGGAGGTAGACCCTATGGAGATGACTCACGAGATCGGGGCAATGGAAAAGCTCCATTAGATAGGAGAGTTCTGATCTGAGCTTACATGTCAAGGAATTGAGCATCTCTAAGCCTTTCTCTTTCCTTGGCTGCTTCTAGCTCGGATGTGAGCTTTGTCACTGTCTCCAGCATAGCGGAGAGGCTCTCCCTATTAAGTTGCTCGCCTTGCGAGGAAGTCCCTAGTCCTCGCATTTCACACTTATAGCAATAAAAGTTTTTAGTAGGAAGCCCGTATACCTTCCCCCATTTTGGACTGCCAACAGACTCTAACCATATTCTTTCAGCATCCTCGTCTGAAGGTTGGGTTGGCTCACCCGATTCACCAGCTGGGTGACTACGGATGAATTCCTCTACGTTACTTTGGTAGCGACTTATATTATTTTAAATTAAATCATTATTTCAAATTTTTTATAAAAGTAAATTATAATACTTAAAGAAAATTGAAGGCTTACATATGTAGTCGAGGCCCGGTCCTCGACTCACCTATCTTGATCCCCCTCTTTCTTCTTCTTCACAATATGCGTCTCCTTGAATAGTTCATCATGACTCATTGGACGCTCATACTTCTTTTGTTGAAAATAATTTAATTTAGTTAATAAACAGAATAGATATACTTAGAAAAGTAAAATAATTTAAGCAATTACGTACCAATCTTCTTTTTATTGTCCCTAGGCTGATCGCACCTCCAGTGTGCAAGGAGCCTCCCTTCTCGGATGCGCGAGCTTTCTTTCCCTTTTCGCTCCTCTCTAAGAACTCTGCGGTAAGCCATTGCCTTTGCAAATCATTCCACAAATTCTCAAGTAACCAGCCAAGCCTCTTGTTATTCTTTCTAGCATCCGAGAAAGCATTCGCCAATCTCTT